AACCCTCGGATAAGTCTGCACTCTCGCGGTTAACCTGGTACTACACGGGTTAGTGATGCCTGCAGGTAAGGAGGAGCAGCGTTGCCGCCTGCCTACCCGCCCCCTGAACTCTCACCCTCCACAGATGGCTCGCCACCTTCCAAGCCACCTTCAGATACGGCCCTCAGTCCGATGTCTTTCAACAGAACCCAGCAGTGGACCTCAAACAGCCACCCAGGCTCCTCGCCTCACACTCACGTCCAACCAGGTACGTACCCACACATCATCATTTTCCTTCCTTACTGATCTTTCATGCATTTAGACCCCCCCCTCTTTGGCCGGATACGCGAACCTGAATGCGCCGAAGGGGTAGAGTCATGAACTGCCTCTCGGTGGTGCTCAACCACGTGGCTTCCGTCTGCACGCTGAGCCACATCTGTTGGTCAACAGGTAAGTCTCCGGCCCCTCGGCTTATTTTCTCCCCACTACCTCGCGCAACCTCATCGAATGAAATGGGCAAAATTCGATCGAATCTTCTACAAGAACCCGACCAGGTGCGTACTCCCTCCTTCCTACCTTTCCCGAATGCACCTAGCTTTTAGCCCTCTCTAAGTTCATTCACTCTCTCCCTCACTCCTCCGCGCAGTCCATTCCTCCTCTATCTCCTACTCTACTGACTCCCTTCCCAAACTAACTTCACCACGATGGTTGCCCGGGGTCAGAACCCTAGAATCACCTCCTCCTACGCCTGATCCTGTTCGTGACTAACTGCACTGTACATTTTCCTTTTCCTCTTCTTCCCGTTCCCTCCATAGTTCTACGTACTTCACTTTTTCTACTAACTCCCTAATCTGCGGACTTTCTTCTGAAACTAACATCGCCATTGCGTTCGCCCTTTGCTAAAACCCCCATCTAGACCTCTACCTCGCCTGATTCCGGTGAGGAACGGGCGAAAACGAACTTCTTTCCCTCTCGTTCGCCACGCTTCACCATAGCTTTCGTCGAATGCCCCGGGCGCAAAGTGCGTCCAGGTTCTTTTTTTTTTATTTTTTTTATTTTGTCCTTTCTTCCCGGTCACTCCGCGCACCGGTTTTCTCACTAACACCTCCTATACTAACTCCATACTAGAACTAAGCCTAGATTTGAATTCGCCATTGTACTCGCAATGATGGAGAACCCCCGATTAGCACTATAACTCACCCGATTCCATCATAAATCGGACGTAGCTTCGGTCTTCCCCGCTGCTAACTCCGCCATGTCCCGATATCCCCGCGCACCCATTTTTCTTCGTCTCTTCTATCTTACTAACTATCATCTAAAACTGACCTCATAGCCGCGGTCGCAGCCCTCGTGAACCCCGATTTCGACTCTCCTCCTGGAATCGAGTGCGCTACCCATTCTCTACAGCGCCTGGGTCACCCTTCCGCCATCTCCACGTGAATGCACCCGGGCGGAAGTCCGGGCCAGGTTCACCCGGGTTATTCCTACTTCCGCCATCCTGCTGCCTTGGCTCCCGGTCATCCGCCCGCTGCTTGCTCTACTCCTAGCTCTGTTGCCCTCTAAATGCACCTAGCGCGCCTGCCTGTCTAGGTCCATTTCCCCCCTTCCTACGGCTCCTCCGTTGCCTTGCTGCCTTCGGCACTCCTGCGTTAGCCGCTACTGCAGTGCCCAGTCTCACAGCGCTATTCCTCCGTCAGCTGCTGTCTAACGCTGCGCTGCCTGGCCAACAGCGCCATGCCGCCCGTCGGCTCATTGGTACCCCGCACGTATCCTGGCCCACTCGCTGCTCCACGACGCAACCCACTGCCCAAACTATGGTTGCCTACGCAGTGCTCGACACCTTAGCGCAGCGGCCCTGCCCGACAGCGCCTGCCACCCTGAGGGAACTTTGGAGGAAACCAGCTACTAGATGGTTCGATTAGTCTTTCGTCCCTATATCCAAGCCCGACGAACGATTTGCTCGTCAGTATTGCTGCGGGCCTCCACCTCAGCGCTAGTCCATCCACTGCTCCGCTGCGCCCCGACCACCGCCTTTGCTTCGGGTCGTCCCCGCTGCTGCCCGGCCTGTCCGTACCCAGCACAGCCCGCGGTCCGACAACCCTGGCCGCTCCGCTTTCCATCGCGTGGTCCGACAACCCCCGCCTCTCAGAAAAGCTCTAGTTGTCGGCCGGCCCACGTTTTATAGCCTTTACCGGTGCCGAGGCGCCACGCCAATCTACTCTGTATCGTTCCAATTTTAACAGATGTCCCGAAGGACTTAGCCGCGGTGGTACCCCTGCCTGCGGTTCTTTAAGACGTGGACTGCCAGTCGCGGTACCGCATCCCGAACCAAAATGGGACCGCAAATACCAATAGAAATAATAGGTAAATATAAAAAAAACAAAGATAAAATAAATTACTATAAATAGAAATCTCTAAGCAGGGTGCGGGAACTACTAAGCCTCACTGGTCCTGTGGGTCGGGCTTGTCGCCGCGCTTGTTAACAAAACCAAAAGGGGATAGCCCCGTCGGACCCTCAACCCCTCGGATCTCTCCATAGCGCTCCGACGCTGCTGCGCCGACATTCGCTGGCCTCGATCCCCAAACCTTCATAATAGTAGTCCGATACCGGAACCAGCCTGAGACCAATACACGCCGAGTGCCATATAAGGCGGTGCGGCGCTGCGCTGCGCTCAGGGCCAGGGAAATTGGCCTGAGCCTCATCTCCGCCTACAACCTTGCGCGCGGCCGCCCAGCGTCTGCGCCGACTTACCAAAGCTGTACCACAGCCGCCACTCGCGCCCCTCCGTGTGCCGAGACCTACCACAGTCACACTGTCGCCGTTGTCGCCGTCGTCCTCACACAAAGCGTTCGCCTCAGCCAACACACCAATCAAAGGGAAATATCTCCAGTTCCTACTTAATCAAAAATAAAAAGGTATTAATAATATCATTAAACAATACGACCGACGTCCGTGCCGGCTTTATGATCAACAACAGAAAAGAATCACGCGTGCCTTAAACCTGCGCGCCCACGCACTCTCTATTATAGTCAACCCTCCTGTCAACGTAAGTTACATATGTAGCCGCGCCTAGCACGGTATACTTAAATTTTAAACCAAAACTATTTTCTGTCACTTGCAAAAACCAGGGCGGATAGCCTTGTAAGGGTATTCGCGGCGACAACTTATCGGACCATATTAAGCGACGTCCCCGTCGCTTCGCCAAATCAGAAAACTATGAATTCATCCAGACTCCAAATGCTGACGAAAGACGAGCCAATCCGATTAGCCGACAAACACAGGGTAGAGGCCTCCATCAAACCATACCTTCATAACTATATGCTGCCAGGTTTATAACCCGGGCCTCTTACCGCCCAGAAATTGGGACGCTGACCGCATAAGTTCCAAAGACCTTCCCAATCGTCCTCTCCGTGGTCCTAGACAGCCTTCGGCTTCTCGTTGGGTGTTCCTAGTCCTGGCAAAAACTAGGGACGCGGGCCTTAATCGAGACCTTTTGAAGACACTCTTGCCTTCCTTCTCAAAATCTCTCGCAATCAAATACACATAAGTATATATGTATACTTGATATCCGCTCAGCTCTTTCTGCAGTCCAGTACAGAAAGGCTAGGTCTCCACCTTGGCCCACCATAGCCTGGCTAATCAGACCCGGACTATGGCCCACCGCATTGTTATTTAACAACAGTACCCTCGTTGGTCATGCAACGATAGGTTTTCTCCTGATAAACATTCAATCAGGATTCGCCCCCCAAAAAATCTCAACCTTCACTATCCCGCGGAGTAATTTCACTGGGGTGGGCACCCCCCCCTTAAACTCTTACCCACACGGTCCCGCAGCCAGGTTGCGCCGGCTAGCAGCCATCCAATGAGGTTACGCTCTAGAGGTACTAACTTCTTTTCCGTTAGCTTGACCTTTCTTCAATATGTCTCAGGATTAGCACCAGTGGTTAGACGGGCGTCGCAAAACAAAATTAGTGGCCCACTGTGCAATACGCAGGGGTCCGAAGGCATTTACCAACCCTCCCTCACTAGGCATGGCATCCTTCGCACGCTTACAAACAAAATCACCGCTAAATCCACCAGACCGTGATCCCTGACTTGATCAGAGTCAGCAGCCACCCACCCTGAGACATCTCTCGCCCTGCACTCATTGCGACTTTCTCAAACATTCCAAACAAAGGTGACTCTTTTTCGTCAGACTTTATCACTCATCAGACAACCCACCATGCCATAAATCAGTTTACTCACTTTTGAAGGTGAGTCTTCCAACAACAACAACAACACATCCCCTTTTCCAAAAATCCAAAGGGTTCTCATCATAAACAAAACACCCCCTCTTCCAAAAATCACGAGGGGTCTCGCCACATCACAAAACATTTTAACACATCTCCCTGCTAAAAAATCAAAGGGGGTCCCATCATAAAATAGAACATCACTGAGAGATCATCTTATGGGTCCTCATCACAACTTAAGCAATCAATAATCAACATGGTAAGCATTTTGAGCCTCCTGGGCTCATAAATTTTCAAAATTCTCACAACCTTTCACAAACGGGATGCACTTCCTCCCCTTATACTCTTCCCTATCAGCTGCCCGTGGGCAGATCGCACAAGTATACCGTGGAGTAGACAGTTTTGCTTACAACCATATTCACACATTGTCCACACAAACTCATCATTCATCAGAGTACAACCACACATGTGAGAGAGACAAATGATCGTCACATATAAGAATGGTCCCTAAAAGAAACCTCATCATAATATACACCCAGGCAAATAAAATGTCTCACACAGAAAAAATGTCTCCAAATCATAACTCACTCCAAACCCGCACTGACAACTCCCCTAGAATACATGTCAGATCTATCTCTCAAAAGCCAGGGCGTAGGCTACCTAAATATATACATGCCTTATCTAAATCACCCTGATCCTCAAGACCCCATCTCAGTAGGAACACTAAAGTTCAGATCTAGACTAGTAGCAATCATCAAAAGGTCCTCTAAATCTAAGAGGGTATCACACAGAATCTAAGTTGATGCCTCACAAGATACTCGCCCACTTATATAGACAAACCGGCCCTACCTCCTCAACTCCTCCTGGTTTTGCCTATATAACTGAGCCCTAAGTCTATTTGCGGACTTCTCTACTACCCTACCCTGTCTATCATACATCTTATCTCCTACCTTTGAGACCTTCCCTGCTGCCTTATCCTCAAGGAACTCGAGACAGTCCAGAGCATGATATACGTCCCTCTTGCAGTAGAAACATAGTTGATCGACCTTCCTCTTGAACTTCTTCTTCTTGGGCTGAGGAGGTGGTGATGAAGGAGATCCTACCAAGGTACTGACAACCCCTTGCTGCTCTATCCCAGGAGCTGCGGTACTAACGACCTCCTGCTGCCCCATTCTAGGAATCGGTCCCCCAGACCCAGATCCAGTAGCCCAAGATCCCAGTCTGCTCCTCAAATCCTCTGTCGCTGGGACGTACTCAGGCGTGTCCAACCTCTGAGGTCTCCTCTCGAGTGTCTCTCCTGGCGCTGTCATGGGCTGCTCCTCAATCTCCTCTGGTCCATACTCAGGCGTGTCCATCCTCTGGACTCCGCCCCCGATGGCACCCTCCGCCTCAATCCCCATCTCTCTCTCAAGAGGCTGCTCTATCCTCTGCTCGGGTGAAAACAAGCTCACCTCCTCCTGCATAGTATGCACCGCCTCAAGGAGCACGCTCATGGATCCTTCTGCTGAGCCCTGAGCCGGCTCACTGCTAGACGGTGGCATCCCCTCCTCTACTGCCAAAGGTACGACTGGGCCCGCCGCTGCTACTGGCAGTGTCGCGAGCTCGATAGGGGCTCTGAACTCGAATGCCTCTCTCTCCGCCTGTCTCTGGGTTCTCGCCTCCTCTGGCTCCAGGATAATCCTCCCCATAGGTGGCTCCTGGCGAGGCTCTGCTGCAGATGGCTGTCTTGGCAATCCCCGTCCTGGCTGCCTCTGCTCCCCCTGCCTGCTGCTCTCTGGCTTGTCCACCTTTCCCTGGGTTTGCTGCCTCAGGCTCTCGATGATAGCTGCCTGGCTGGCCACCAATGCCCTGAGTTCCTGAATTTCTATCTCCATAGTGTGGACTTGTTGGTCACAATGTTGACAGATAGTCGTCCTCCAATCAAAACGGGGTCTTCCATACCCCTGACTTCCCTGATCTCCCTGGCCTTGATTCCCCTGGCCTTGATACCCCTGGCCTTGGTACCCCTGACCTTGGTACCCTTGGCCTTGACCCCCTTGGCCTTGGTACGCCTGGCCTTGATTCCCCTGGCCTTGGTACCCCTGGCCTTGGTACCCCTGGCCTTGACTCCCTTGGCCTTGGTACCCTTGGCCTTCATTCCCCTGGCCTTGGTACCCCTGGCCTTGACCATTCCATTGCCTCCCTCTTCCGCCGCCATTCCTGCCTCGCCCCCTTCCTCCACCCCTCCCTCCGTTGCCTAGATTGTCCTGCCCCCGGTTCCCACCTCCTGCAACACTGCCCTGTGAACAGGGAGCAGGTGACGGTGGCGGGGCCATAGGCTGGGCCTGGGCTACGGGGTAGATGGGTGGTGGCATACTCGTTTGCAGTCCGGCCACTGGCGGCGGGCTTCCCCATGGCACAATTGCATTGATCACCGGCCAGGGCCACTGTCCGTAGGAAGGCGCCCCACCTTGCGAGGGGCCCGTACTAGATGATGGAGCCGCCACATTTAAAGGGGCTGCTGCCTGGGCCTGAGGCGCCTGCGCTTTTCCTGATCCCTGTCCGCCCTGCGCCAAATTACGCACTTTGTGCTGGACCTTCGTCAGGTGCTGCGGCACCGACTCTTCCTCTTCCCAGAGCTCCTCCTGAACAGCCTCCTCTATCACCAGCTCCTTTCCTTTCACTTTGACAGCCGTCACCACCCTCCTTTGCACCACCGGCTCTGTCGCATACCCTAGCTGTGCCAATACGTCTGTAACAATCCTTGTTACCCCCGGGGTCCCAGAAGCGGTCGCATCTCTTTCCTTTCTCTTCTGCCTTTGCAGGCGAACCTGACGTTGCTCGACCTGGTCCAAACATCCCACTTCCACCCCTCTATCAATGGTGGCCCAGGTGAGCTTGGTGCTACCTCCTCCATGTCTCGTCAACTCAACGACCTCCGATGCCGTGAGTAGCCCCAGGAAGATGGCGCACTGTGCTTTCTCTGACATCTCATGGGCCTTCCTCGCCCTCTTCTTAAATTCTTGAACAAAGGCCCCTATCATCGTAAAATCCTCTTTGTTCATCGCCTCAAGGTCCGCAGTAGTCAATAACCCGTCTCCCAGGCGGTACTTCCTCTGCATCCTCTCCTTAAACCTCTCCCAGCTGCCTTGGGCTGCATCTATAACTTTCTTCACCTCTTGGTGGTAGCTGTGGAGGACATACTGAAGGATGCGTTGAAACTTTACAATGTCCGACCGCCCGACCAAAGCTTGTTCCACCCGCTCCAGCCATTCCGAGACTCTTTCCCCACAAAAATGGAAAGTATCGACCTTTGGGATATTGTTTGGATTCCTTTCATGCTGGTCGATGGCCGCGATGAGGTCATCGAGTGTCAGGCCCTTCTTGGGAGCACCTGATGCGCCGCCGCCCTGCGACATTTTGACAGACTCCTCTCTTCAAGCTTCCTGACAAAAGAAAAACAAGCATACCCCCTTATTCAACATTATGCCTTGACCGGTCTATTCCATCCGCTTTACCCAACTTTTACTACGTGCCTTCACCCAATGCTACACGTTCGTCCTTCATACCTTCCCTTACTCAGGTAGATAAATTTCCTCACCTATACTTAATCATTCATTATCTTTCCTTACCTTCTCATCGTTCCTTTATGCCTTTTCTCATCCACTTCTCATACCCGGATGTCGTTCCACCAGGGACAATGGTAGGCTTTCCGTTATCCTCGGCAACGGCGCCACCTGTCGTGCGCATCGGTCCGGCACCGCATCAGGGCAGCGTGGGACCCTCCCGGCCGCGTCACGCAGGAGTTGGTTTACAACTCTTTGTCGCAATATACATGGAGCTTCCACAAGCCGCTCCGGCCGAGTGCGTCAGCCATACCTCCCGCGAGCCCCTACGACAGGATAAGGCCTACGCGAGGCACGACTTACCTACACCTTACGGGAGTTGTCACCTCCCTTCGGTGGGCGTATCCCCGCCGAGCTACCAGCTCACAGTACGAAAGCTAGTCAGTTGCAATCGCAGAGGTGGACCACTCGAGGGCGTTTCTCATTTGTTGTAGCATAGGGGGTACGCGCGGTAATACGCCTCTATCGGACCCGCTCGCGAACCGACATCTTGGGGGGCTGAGATCCCAAGCGCGACTCGTCGTCCGTCGACTAGGACGCATCCCTTACACCACGCGCACTTCACTTTACGAACACACATACACACAAAAACAAGACATATACGAAACGACACAACAAAAACAACGCGACAACGCT